AGAGAGAGAGAGAGAAAGGAAGAAGAGAGGGTGAAAGAACCAGCACCGGAAGACAGGAATTGATAGATTTCTCTCTTTTGTGAGCTGAGGAGCCATGCAAATATTGAACTGAAAGCACAGGGCTGCTTAAAGCATTTCCACGATATCGGACCTCCTTCTCGATGCTTCTTAGTAGAAGGGAGGGCAGGGGTGAAGGAAAAGGGAACGCAAGAAATATATGAGACTCGGTAGAAGTTGAAAAACAGAGAAAGGAAATGAGGGAGCGGGGAGGGGGAAGAGAGAAGACGAAGTGAAAGTAAGTAAAGTGGAACAAAAAAAGAGAAGGCAAGAGAAGAAAGGGAAAACAGTGATTTTGCGAAAGGATGAATCGCTCGATGGAATTAAAGTGTAAGTGAAGCAAATGGAAAAACAAAGGGGATGAAACGAAGCAAACGATGGATAAAGTGGATGGATAAAAGCGGGGAGAAGGAAAAATATCAGAAATAAATAGAGGAAGGATAGACACGAGGAATAAGGTTAGAAGCAAACAATAGGGGCAAAGGAGAAAGCAGAGTGGCTAAGTCGAATGGATTTCCGCTTTTCTCCTTCATGTCACCTTTCCACCTTCGACTCTTGAACGATAGCTTCGATGTTCGGACTTTTTGTTCGTTCCCTCCATCTCACTCACGCTTTTAAACCGCTCAGACCGTTCCCAGTTCTTACTTTCCCGATCAACAGACTTTATTCTGGCTGAGAGAAGCTCGAGACTACCATCGGCACACTCTGCCTTTCGACTCTTTCTCCGCGACAATCAGCGCGCTGAAAATGGTACCTGCCACCTCGTAGATTCGGCTACGATTCGAAATAAATCTGATCAATTTCGGATACAAGAGTACGCAATAAGGAAGTAAGTTATCTTGTCTCAATTCGATCAAACTTTTCAACTCTCCTTCCTTATTTCCTCGAATTTTTTTCTTCGAATAGATTTAAATAAGATTTAAATCAAAGATTCAAATTATATTATAACGTTAAATATAACTTGACGATAATACCAATTAGAGGAATAATCGAAATAAAAAGATAATCGATTATTCTTCAACGTATTATCTCAACGTCATCGTGTTTTCTGAAGATTCCTTTCAACTAAAAGACTGAAAAGTAAAGTTTTCTATGTCGGAAACGATCTACGGAAGCAATTACTTCATATCTTTCGTGACAGGAAGCAAAGAGGTCGGGCCACTGTTCTTTGTTTCCGGATTTACAACACGGTGAGAGGAAATTCGTTCGATATTTCTGCATGTCACGTCGCGTGTACGTGTAACCCACACATTCAACCGATAATGAACCAAGAAATTCGCTTCTCGAAACTTGAAAAATGTTTCAACGGCGTTTCTTTCGCGCTTAATACGCTCTTTAAAAGCTTACTTATAGAAATAAAATAAAATAAAAAAAAAAAAAAAAAAAAAGAAAATTGAATAAAGAGCAAATGTGTCGCAAATTGCAATTCAGCATAGAGGCGAAAAGGCTCTGATTATTTTTAAAAAAAATATCTTTATCCGCCTTCTTTTTTTTTTACTCTTTAACATTCTGCGGCATACACCTCACCTCGATAACGATCTTCGAGGATTCGAGTCGCTCTAGAAGAACCTTTTAAATTGTTTGAACGTTAGAATGGAACTTTGCAAATAGCAGTTAGTATACGAAATTAGATTCCACAGTGGCGTCACGAAACTTTATTGTTCCTTCGCTCTGCCTTTCCTTTCTCGCGTTTTCCTCTATTTCTATGGACTTTATCCTGCACCTACTTCGGTATTATCTCGCTTCGTATTCCCTTCTTACCGTGAAAACCGTGTTCCAACTAAACCTGTTCACATTGCCCGAAATAAAACGTCGAAAACGAAGCAGAGTGTAAAATGAAAGTTGCCATTTCCATGAACATTTCAGTTTCGAAATGCTCCACTCGCACGATCGACTGGGTTCATAAATTTCGCTAATTTTCAATCTCTATATTATATTTCTTCGCCGTCGAAAACGAGTGCAGAGTGTAAAACGAAAGTTGTCATTTCCACGAACGTTTCAATTTCGAAATTTACTTTACTTTCACGATCGATCGGGTTCATAAATTTCGCTAATTTTCAACGATTCTTATATTATATTTTTTCCTCGTTGAAAATAAATCATCGTTTATTACATTATTACATAACCGTAGACTGATGTTCGCCGCTTGAAACTTATTTTTTGCCAATTGTGATCGATAGTGCTCCAAGACTTGCGGTACTGGAGTCAGGACGAGGACAATCGAATGCAGGGACGCTGTTGGATCGATTTCAAAAGACTGCGATCTCGCCGAACGACCGCACACCGAGCAGGAGTGTAAAACAAATATCCCCTGTCCGATATGTAAGTGTTATAAGTTGCATTTCTATGCACCGGCGTATCGTCATTCCTCGCGTCATACAGGACGATTTCATCGATGGAAACCTTTTTTTCGATTTATCACGCGCACGATCCACTTGTCCGACAACCATCCGATGAGTTCGTGGAAAAATATTTTGCGACCGGTGAACTTTCGTTTTAGATGGCGAGGAAATGACGCAGCCGTTGATGCAACCGTACCCACCTCCACCGGTGTCAGAAAAATTGATCGACCAACCGATACCCTCGGAATCCACGTAAGTAACTTCTCTGAAAATTGATAAACACACACGCGTGAACACATATATACACCGATATGGTAATATATCGATATGGTATACGTTCGGTCGGGCAGGTCCGTAGCCGGATATTTATAATGTTACACACAGATCGCCTCGTAGAGCTTCTCGTTGCGCTGTCCCTCCAACTTTTGAACAAAATAACAAAACTCGTACAAGCTAGATAGAAAATCTTCCTTCTTAAAAGCATTCATTTCTTGACGTCAATTGGTCTGTCCTGACAGATATACGATCTACTTTGCCTGTGGCTGGTTGTATCTGAGGTATCCCATTACTGTGTCTCTTTCTACTCTCTATCACTTTAACTCTTCTATTTTCTGTCTCTCTCCCCTTTCTTTCTTTCTTTCTTTCTTTCTTTTTTCGTCTTCTTCTAATTCCTTTGATCTCCCTCTTACTTACACATCCGCCCATTCTTTTCGTCTTTTTCTCTCTCTTTCTCTCTCTCTCTTTGTTCTTCTTGATTTCTCTTTCTTTATTTTTCTCTTAAGTTCTTCTTACCTTCCGATTCCTTCCTTGGCTTCCGCCATCCTAAGAGCTCCCATCGCTTCTCTTCCTTTCAAGAAAGAGCAAAGCAAACCGTCCATGTTCCATCGTATCTCCCTCTTCCCTCTGCTTAATGTTTCTCTCCTACTCCTCCTCGTTAACCACCACCGCTACCGCCACCATCGCCACCATTATCGGTATATATCCCTCTTCTTCATCCCCACGTATTCCACAATCTCTCTCTCTCTCTCTCTCTCTCTCTAGATTCTTCGCACGCTTTTGTAACTCACCGCAAAGCTGCGAAGTCCAAGGATGCTTCCCCCTCCCCCTTTTTTTTTGAACGAAATCAGGGTTAAACGAGTTCTAGAAGCGTTTCGTGTCCTCTCCACCCTCCTCCCAAATATCCCGATCGCTTTCCAACGATGCTTCTCCTTTTCCCACCCCCTTATTTCGTTTATTCACCTTTTCCCTTAATCAACTTTAGGTTAGACAAATTCCACTCCAGATTACCACACTCTCTTCTTGTTCTTTTAGCGTATATTAGCATTTTCCGTTTTCTTTCTCTCTATCTATCTTAGCATTTCGTAGGCGCGTCAGCGAGAATAATCGTTTCGCGGCATAAACGCAGCAGGAAAAACAATGTGCCTGTCGCTCTTGTAACTGTAATACACGTTGCAACGTGTAATTGGATCTTTCCTTTCTCTCTCTCTCTC